GAAAATCTTGATACATGTCACAACCTCACAACTCACAACATTCGTGTCATACTTATTTATCTTCGAACCGGAATACTTTGTTCGTTCCTCCAAAAGTTTTCCGCATCGATGGAGGTTTTAATATTCACTAACCTCTCGAAATTGTTTTTGAAATATTTAGCCCCATAGATTTTACCTTCTTCGTACGTGGAATTAACACTTGACCCTATGTCAAGATCACGGTAATTTAAATACGCCTCCCTCGGATTACTAGACACGTACGGAGCCATGAATTCGTACATCTCTTTTGCGCGTGCCAAATAATCTTTTTCCACTTTATCTCCAGCTTCCGACCAATCTATGAGATACTCAATGTTAAACAAATTACCAGCTCTATGTGGGAACGGTGTCCGCGAACTCGGGATCTCACCCATTCTTCCTCCGTACGGATTCCAATTCATTTCAACTTTCTCAACCTCCACCAATTTCTTGAGTATTAAACCGAGACCGGTTCTCGAAATCGGACGCTTCACATAATCCGATTTCCGTTTCATGAACATCTTTTTTGCGACTATCGGGTTTAGCAACACAGAAGTCGGTGTACCGATCGGATAACCGGCCCAAAACAAAACGGAATCGATCCATCTCATCTCGGTACAATCGGTTTTCTTCAGCTTTAGTTCCGGGAAACTTCGGTTCATCACGTTCAATAGCTTATCGGACCGGCCTAAATACATCCCAATGAAAGAGGCTAAAACCGCCTTCTCACCAGGCTTCGTACCGTTGACCAAAGTCAACGTAAGCCTCACGAACAAATCCCGATCCGTACTTGAAGCGAAACTCTGCCACTTCATTATAAGATCCACGGCTCCTTCACCGATGGTTATTCCGACGTTAAAAACCGTAACTCTCTCCGGTACCGGAACTAGCTGTATTTTGTATCCTAGCACGACGCCAAAACTCGCAGCTCCACCTCCCCGAACCGCCCAAAAACGATCTTCTCCCATCGAAACCCGATCGGTGAAGATATTCCCGTTCGAATCAACGATTCCGGATCCGAATGTTATCCACTGACAATCCGTACTTTCTCATTAAATTTCCGTACCCTCCGCCGCTAAAATGTCCACCAACTCCCAAAGTCGTAGACAAACCCGCCGGAAATCCAAGAACATTACTTTTCTCGGCGATTCGATAATAAAGTTCTCCGATCGTAGCGCCGGATTCAACCCAAGCCGTTCTTTCCGTGAGATTCACGTCAACGGATTTGAAACTGAACATGTCGAGGACGAAGAACGGGACGGTGGATGTATAAGAGAGTCCTTCGAAGTCGTGGCCTCCGCTTCGGATCCTGACTTGGAGAGAGAGCTCTCGTGCGCAACCTAGAGCGGCTTGTATGTGTGTCCACGTGGCGGCAGCGACGATGACTAGTGGTTTTGGTGTGGTGGGTTTGTCGAAACGGAGGTTGGGTATGCGGCGGCGAAGGACGGTGGTGAAAGATGAGTTTGTTGGAATGTAAGCGACGGCGGAGTTAGGACTTGTTCGGTCCGTTGGTTGTCGGTCTAGACATCGGAGAAAAGCTGTCGGATCGGTCACGGATTGTGAAGTTGCAATTGAAGTTGAGATAAGTAAGAGAGAGATTAAGAGTAATTTCTCCATTTTACTTTTGGTGTTTGTGTGTTTTTGGGAGATTTGGTTTATATTTTCGAAAACTTGTCGTGTGTGTGTATATTTATATAGAGGAGATTCTAGTGATTCAAAGTGTTTATCATAATCATAGCACTGTACTTAACTATTAAGCTATTACTATTACTAGGTGAATACCCGCGCATACGTGCGAGTTATTTAACATAAGTTTTAATTATATAACAAAACTAATTGATTTTTAGGTCATGATCTAAAAAATAAAATTAGGTTAACCATATTTTATTTAGTCGGAGTGATTTTATTTAGAAATACGTATTGGTGAAAAAATTTTAAATTTATTGAACATAAATGAGAATTCAGAAAAAAGAAAAAGAAAATATAAAACTATATCTATATTTGATATATGATAATATTAAAATATGCTCGCGCGGTGGGCGAATTTTTGTTTCACAATTTTATTAAAGTTATTTAACTAACCAAAAATAAAATATATTATACTTATTTGAAAAATCTAATATATACGTAATTATATATGTTTTTATGTATGTTTTTAATTAAGTTATGGTATTATTTTAAACGTATTAATATTTTATCATTAAAAATTAACTCTTTTACGTTTTGTTTAGATTAATATTTTTGTCTTATTTAACATATATTACATTTTTTATGTAGATGTAAATTTCATTATTTACTTTTATGTTATTTTCTTAAACTATATATATTTTCACTAAAAAAAAGATTATGAAGAATTTTCACTTGTTTAAGAAGACTTTCACTTGTTTAAAAAAAATTTATGAAAGATCTTCACTTGTTTAGGAAGGTCTTCATAAACACCTTCCTAAATAAGTATGAAACTTTCTTAAAAATAAATTTATGAAGGATTTTCATTTGTTTAGGAAGGTCTTCCTAAACACCTTTTTAAACAAGTAGGAAACCTTCTTGAAAAAACTATAGGAAGGATTTTCACTTGTTGAGGAAGGTCTTACTAAACAAGTAGAAAACTTTTTTAAAAATAAGTTTATGAAGGATTTTCACTTGTTTAGGAAGACCTTCCTAAACACCTTCCTAAACAAGTAAGAAACCTTTTTAAAAAAAGTTTATGAAAGATCTTCACTTGTTTAGGAAGGTCTTCATAAACACATTCATAAACAAGTAGGAAACTTTCCTAGAAATAAATTTAGGAAGAATTTTCACTTGTTTAGGAAGGCCTTCCTCAACACATTCCTAGACAAGTACGAAACCTTCCTATAAAAATAAGTTTAGGAAAGATTTTCACTTATCTATGATGGTCTTACTAAACAAGTAGGAAACTTTCGTAAGAATAAGTTTATGAAGGATTTTCACTTGTTTAGGAAGGCTTTTCTAGATACCTTCCTAAACAAGTACGAAACCTTGTTAAATATATATAGTTTAATATCCTTTTAGTAAAATAATATATATTCTTTCTCTTTAAATCAACAACCTCTTAACAATCATTTGACACCAATATTTTTTTTTATATCTTTTATATTTTTATTCATTTGTTCTTATATGTATATTTATTTTACATATTTTCAATTTNTGAAATTNAATATATAAAATTTTATCGTTATCCTAAGCNNATAATCAAGTATATTTATTGATATAATTTTAAATATTCAAATAGTTTTATATGTACTACTTTTAGTTATTTGTTGACTTATTTTCATTTTTATTTAATTAGAAATTTTAGAAATTATAAGTGACAATAAATATACA